CCCTTTTGCAGGAGTCAACGCAGGAACTAATGTTGGAGAACATTATGGTGAGCTTGGCAGACTGGATTGCTGCCAAGGTTAGTCTGTGCCGGTTTGCTGCCAAGGACCTGTCTGTCTGTTAATTAAATGCCGTATACCTTATCTTTGGTTTGGAGTGTGTGTTGGTGTGGGACGAGGGGGGTCAGAACAGGTAGAAGGTCCCTAGTGCAGCATTACATTTCCAACATCGTGGCGATAAGTTTTTGTTCATTTTTGCTAATCTTGTGGGTGGAACATGTTTGATTGTTTCTAATAACACTTGTTTTTAAATATTTGCCATTCTGCGGAGTCCTTGGTGCTCTCTGATTGTTGGCTGTTTGTGTTTGTGTTTGTGTGTGTGTGCATGTGTGTGTGTGCGTCAACTGGGCTGTGCACTCACCTGTACTGAAAAAATGGAGGCCACGGGCTTGTGGTCACTCACAGTGTACTCCATGTGGCTGCAATAGCACAGCTGGGTCACAGTCAGGTTCCCACCGCTGGATCTCCCAGAATGCACTGGGTGGGCCCCACTTTTGATCTTCCATAGGATACGGTCCGTCCAAGCTGGTTTCCGCTTCTTAGCACTGCAGGGCACAACGCAAAGGACAGGAAGTGAAGACCTAAGCGAAAGCTGGGATAACACGCCGTGTGTATTCTGTAACTCAGTGTCCCCCAATCTTTGGGGCACCAGGGACCGCTTCTGTGTGGGCAGCTTTTTCCATGGACTAGAGGGGGCATGATTTTGCATGCTGCCTGTATCCCGTGGATGGGGCTTCCCTTTATCGCGTGGCCTTGTTTCTGGCATGCCGCGGCCCGATGTCAGTCCACAAACCGGGGGTTGGGGACCCCCGTTGCAAATTATGATTACGGTCGATCACACAGCCAGCCAGATGTTCAGTCTGGACCTGGCATCTTTATCCAGATATTGAGACCTTCCCCAGGACTTGGAATAAACAGATGTGGAAGTTTGATGGGGTTCAAGCTCTCGTCGCAGGATGCCAGCTGTTGTAAGCCAAGCTGCCATATGTAATTGACCGATGACGGATTTTGTCAACGCCGAGGATTTTGGGATTGGACTAGGGGTGGGTTCTTATACCAGTTGGTACCGGTGTGCTTTGCGTGTGTGTGCCAGCTGTGCAATGTTGGTGCATGCACAGTCGACTAAATATTGTTCTGCGCATGCGCAGAAACATGCCGGCAACGGCATAAGAGATCAGGGAACCGGTTCAGGGGCGTGGCCAGCCTGGGTTGCTCCTGGTTCTGCGGCCCAGGCCACAATTCCACTACCGGTTCAGTCGAACCGGACCGAACCGGGAGCAACCCACCTCTGGATTGGACCCAAAGAGTCTACTACTACGGCTACTATCTTCGCTTTCATTTGCCACAGTCATTCTACTACTGTTTGCAAATCTTTGTATTTGGTGATATTTTTCCCCATGTTTTATTTTTCCCTATCCTCTTCTGACCTCTGTCCAGGTCCTGCATTTTCTACTATCCAGATAATTTTGTCTTCCTTATCAACAGCGAAATCTGGGGTGTTATGTGGCAGGTGCGTATCTATTCGAATTCTAAAATCCTAGAGCAATTCAGCTGTTTTTCCTTTTCTGTTTTGTGGTCCCACAGCAATGGTGGGTTTCAAAAATTGTTGGAACCTACTCTGTGGGTGTGGCCTCCTTTGTGGGAGTGGCTTGCCACCCATG